TAAATATATTAAAATGTCGTTAATAAAAATAAAAATAAAGTTATTAAGGTATTTTTAAAAATATATCTCTATTATATATTAAAAAGTTGCCGATACATTTATAAGTCTTTATAATATTATTAAAAATTTAAAATAACTAAATAATATTTATATTACTATTTTTTATTTTTTTTTCTACTATTTATATTTTATAAAATCCATTTTAAACGTTTAATATAATAAAGTATTTTACTTTATAAATTTATTCCATACTATATTTTTATTATAATAAAATATATCCATTTTTTATTATAATATTATTAAAGTGTTAATAATCCTAAACAATTTAATATTAAAGTTTTCCTTTTTTATTAAATTTCAATATTCTATTTAATTTAAGCTTAAATACCATTATACATTAGTATTTAATTAATAACTTTAATATTTTAAGAAATCCTTTCTCTTTTAAGTTTTATACCCATTTTTTATATATTTTATACTATTATTTTTCTAAACAGTATATTTATTTAATCTTTAAGTATTTTCCTTCCTTAAATAAAATACAATAATTAAATACTATATATTCTAGTAATCTATCTAAAGTTAGCCAATTCTCCTAAAAAACCTATCGGACGTTTTTTTTATATTTTTTTAATATTAAAGATATTCTATTTTATTTTTTTTCTTATAAAAATATATACATTTTAATTGCCTCTTATAATTATTTATGTGTTAATAATTTATAAGTCTTACATTTATTAAGTTTCTTTCAATTTAAAGTGGTTTAAACTTTTTAATTTTCTGGTTTTCCTTACTAAATTTTATTTATTAATTAATTAATCTAAGGGTTACTAACTTTAAACCACAGTTTTCTAAAAATAACTTTTTTATCCTTTATATTTATTATATTAAATTATATTTACTTCTTATAACTGTTAATAAATATTATAAAATCTATAATTTCTTTTTATATTATTTTATTATTATAAATTATAATTAATTTGTTTAAATTTACATAAGGGTAAACCATTTTCTTATTTTTATATAATACCTTATATTTATTAATAATCTTTAGGTATATATAATTAATTATTATTACTAAATCAATTAAAGCCTAAATTTTATTTTTATTTTAAGTTATTATAACCTTGGATAAACCATTTTAGCCTATAATTAATTTAAAGACTTTTTTAACTTCTTAATTAATTTACTATTTTTTAAGTAATTACCTTTATTATTTTTTATCGTTCGCATTAAAATTATATTTAATTTTTTTAAGGCTTTTTAATAATTCTTTTTTAGTGCTTTTATAATTATATCTTCGTTTTTAAAACTAACTTATTTAGCTGCCTTTTTCTAGTGCTTTCTCCAAGCTTTTATTTTTTATATTATATAAATTTTACATAAGTTGTTTTTATAGTTTGTTTATATTATTCGTTAATAAATATAATTTTATAATTAGTTAGTAAATAAAGTTATTTTAATTATTCTTAAATTTATTATCTTTATTATAACACTCCTTATTTTATTATACTAATAAACCTAGTTATTATAACTTAACTATAATTTATACTTAATTTTTTTTAACATATAATATAAATAATAATTTAAACTGTAGGATACTTATAAAATTTTCTTATAATTTTTATATTTCAAGTTTTAAATCTTTAAAACTTTTAATTTAAACCCTATATAAGTTTTAATATAAAAATATCTACTTTTACACACATTAATTTCTAAATAAAGGTGATTATTTAAATCCTTTTCCTTAAATTTATAATTTCTAATATACTTAAATATTATATTTACATAAACTTCTTTATAAAAATAAATGTTTTTTAATAACCTTTACGATTATTATAAATTAATAAATAATTAAAAATAAGGTCCTAAATAAATAAATACTAAAAAACATTATTATATTTATTTATAATTATCGTTTTTTTCTTTATTTTTTAATTTTTTCATTATTTATTTTAATTTTTTATCTTAAAGTTGCTATAACATTTTAATATTATTTCTATATTACTTTTAACGTATTAATTCCTCCTATTTCTTTTTATAAATCCTTTTAATTTATTTAAATTTTTTATAAATTTTATAGGTATTATTTATTAAGTTAAGGTTGCTAGGTTTACTTATAAATAATTCCTAGTTTTTATATTCTTAAAACTATTCTTTTATATTAAGTGTTTTATCCTCCAATTTTTTGTTATTAAAGAAGATTTTTAAAGTAATATCCTTATATAAGTTGTATAAAATTAATGTATAATATATATATCCTTTAAAAATAACCTTTTAATTTCTTTTTATAATTAAGTGTTAAATATACATCTATAAATATTAGGAGTAAGCAGGTATTTCTTTATAAATATATCCGTTATTACTATTATTTTCCTTTTTATTGTTTAAAGGGAAATAATTATTACCTTATTTATTTAATAAATAAATTTAACAGTTATTATTATGGTAGTTTATTTAGTTCGTTAATGCATGGCTTATAGTCCTAATTATTATAATTTTAACTTCTATTATAATATAAGCTTTAACTGTTAGTTTTAACACTTTAAGCTATCGTTAAAGGCTTTTATATTTATTTTTATAGTATCCCATTTTTTAATAATTATAACATTTAACTATACTTTTATCCCTTTTACCGTTTATAACTTTATTAACGTTTATAAGTTTTAAATAAGTTCTATAAAACATGCTTAATCCTGTTCTTTTTTATTCTTAATTAACTTAATAATTGCTTTTTTTATATATTTTTTATCGGTAAATAAAGTTTTAATTATCGATTTAAATTATTATAAGGGTATATTTCTTAAAGGTGTTAAATTAATCCATTTTATATAATTCCTTTTTAATATCAAGCTTTAATCCTTTAAAATAAATAAGTATAAATTTAACGTTAATAATAATAATATATACAATAAGTTATTTGAATTTTACTATATAAACTGTTATTAACTTTATTTATATCAAAAATATTATTTATTATTCCGCCGTTTAATTTTAATCTAAGTCTTTAAATCGATTAATAATTTTCTATTTAAAATTTATATAATTTTTAAATATCTCCTTAATCTTTTTTCTTTATTTTTTGTTTAGTTTTTATTAATTTATAATGTAAGGTTTATATATATTTAAGGCTTTCTTTTTAAATATTTAACTAATACATTTAACTTTAACGTTATTTATTAAGATTAATGCTTAATAAAACTTAAGAAAAACTTTTACTTAAGTTAAAAATTTATAAGGTGGTTTTTTTTTATTATATATAGGTAGGTTTAATTTAAACCTTTTTAGTGTTATTATTACTAATTAATATATTAAAACTAGTATTAAAGGTGGTTAATTTTGTTTCATTTTAACTGCAGTAATTGCTTTTAGTTTTTAAATACAGTAAAAAAGTTGGTTTCTTTTTGTTTATTCTTATATTTTTTCCTGGTTAAAAGAATTACGTTCCAGTGTAAGTTTTATAAATTATTACTATATTTAATTAAACTGGGTTTATGGATTATCCTGCATTAATAAACTAGCTATGTTATTAATATACCAAAATACGTTTTTAAATAATGGTAAGTTTAATATTACTAATAAAGCTTACTATATTAACTATTTATTATCTTTTTAATTATTATTTAATTCTTTATTACTGTTATTTTTATTATTAAAGTTCTTAATAGTTTTTATTAATAATATAAATTTTAAATTATTAAATTCGTTTTAATTCTAATCCTAATAAGTTTAAAATAAAAATACATCAAAATCTTACAAGTTATCCTCGTTTATTACGTAATCGTCTTTTTTTTATAATAAACCAGTTATTAATAATAATAAAACTATAGCTAAATTAATCATACCATATTTAACCGTATAATTATATTAATTAAGGAACTTTTAAAATATAATAAACCTTTACCTAACTAAAGTTATATTAATAAAATTATATTTTATATAAAGGGTATATAAATATATTTACTTATTTAAACATTAAAAATCTTAATTTAAAAGTAATAATACGTATATATAAATAATAATAAAAGTTATTAAAAAAATATAATGTTTTTCTCCTTATTAATAATAAAAATTAATAATAAACTTAAATTAAAAGCTATATAAAGGAATAACTAATTACATAAGAAACCTTTTAATTTATATTTTTTTTTATCCTTTATATATTTTATATTAAATTAAAGTAATTAATATCCATCTAATCCCATATTAAATTAAAGTGATTAATATTTATTTAATTTTATACTAAATTAAAATAATTAATATCCATTTAATTCTATATAAGATTAAAATAATCAGTATCCATTTAATTTTATACAAGATTAAAATCCCTTTAATCTATATCATGTAATTTTACTAGACTTAAGTTCTTTTAACTTATTCCTTTACCCCATTAAGCCTTATTTATAGCCTTTTATATTAATCTATAACAATATATATAAAATTAACGTTTTTTAATAATATAAAACGTTATTATTATTTTAATATTATATATAATTTTTATATTATTAACTCGTATAATAAGTTATTCGAAAATATTAAATAAAATAAATACGATTATTTTATTTATATATTATTCGTTAATATTTTCGTTATATTTAATCGATTTATATAAAAAAATTATAACCGTTTTTATTATATTATAAATATATATATTTACGTAATTTAAATACTTTTAATAAAATTAAAATAAAAATTTATAAAAACATTAATTATAATTTAAATATTTATTTTATTTAAATTATAAACTTAATATAAAATTATAATATATTAAATTAAAATTAAAATTTAATTATTATTATTATAAATTATAAAAGTAATTAATAATAAAAAGTATTTAAATTACGTGTAAATATTTTAAAATTATATAACATAAACCTTTAATATAAGTAAAGTACAACTACTAGCAAATGTTTAAAAAAACTAATCTTTAAATAAAGAAAAAAACCAATCTTTAAATAGCATTACTTTTAAATAACATCACTTATAAAAAAACCACACTTCGACACCTGTGTGATTCGAACACACGCCCCCGAAGGGAATGCCTCACACTAACTTTAATAAGTAGCAGGGCATCGCGTTAACCACTCCGCCAAAGTGCCTTGCTACTAAACGTTTAAAATCCAGCCTATATTTTTACTGACCGATATTTACCCTGTTCGCCCTGGTTCGGTTGCTACCCATCTACAGCTAACGTTACGCTGTGCATTTCATCGATGTTATAATAATTATAAATACGAAGTACATCTACACTTATATACTTATTTCCTTAAGCTAGTATGCTTCTCTAGCCTCTTCAAATTCAAGCCTTTATTAAATCTATAGCTCCTCGCGTATGATTGTGACCTTGGCCTTTTGCTACTCATTGATCTCTCGCTTATTTGCCTTGCAGTAGGTACATATATATTGTCCCAGATGAAGCATAGGTGACATCATAGCACTCACAATGTATCCAACTTGTATGGAAATCAGGGTTACGAGGAAGTGCGGTGCATTCTCACAAAGGTGGCTGTGACACTGCGGTAAAAGCCGTACACGAGAAAGAAGGTATATAATAATCAGTTGAGGAAGAAGAAAATATCTCATCCATCTTATGATGAAGCTGCGCAAAATAGTATGTATACTAGATGAGTCTTTTCGCCATAGTCATCTTTAAGTAGCATAGGTGTAACCGCTGGACAGGCACCAAGCCGATATGCAGAAGATATCAACTTGTCTGTGACAGCACGATTGTTGTGTATGATAATCTCGGCCGTGCTTGACCATATTTTCGAATAAATGTATGCGCTGTTTGACGGTATTGGTTAGATGTACATACCTACCTACATAGCGGTGAGCGCGAATTAATAATTGAGTGCTTTTTGCTTTAATAAAGCTCACCGAGATTTGTACAGTTACTACATGTACCTACTAAGGTATTCATAGGTATGTACATACATACATCAGCCTGGCGGCGTGAAGTGCTTGTATTGACGTGTTCAACATATTGGACAAGAGCCTGAGGTTGAATCCAAAGTATATTTCGTTACCTACAGACACCTACCTACCTAGGTATCTATTGTTGAATGGGAATGGAAACGCTCAACAATTGACAGAAGAGTGGTGCTGAACTTCTGAAGACAGGTCCGTAGGATGAGGCTCGAATCTCAGAAGATACAATAATATTGCTTTATCGGAAAGCTTACCTGCATGTAATAATCCATCACATATGGTACCTAGAGGTAATTTTCTCAAGCTATTACCTGCATTTACGTATTGTACGGGCAGCTAACTTACCAGCTGCAGGCAAAGATGATCCAGTCAGCGATGGCATGTGGGCAAGAAGAAGGCTTCGGTTTGTCTGATTAATACATCTTGTTTTACCTAAGGTAAGGCAAGGTACGAAGTACATAGTATGTATATACGAAGTACATACATATCTGTTACCTTGTTACATGGATAGGAGCTCCATCCAACTTTAATTTCTATATATGTACTGCTCATGTATGTATGTACATGCGTAGGTACCTAGGCGTTGCCCCTCCATTCAATAACAGCTTGATCGGACTTCTCTGCTGTGTTCGAGCCAAGAAAAAGGAAAGAAACCCATCAGAGAGTTAAGTGAAGTGGGGTTAATCCATTGCTATCAGTTTAACTTTCTGAAATTGTTTACAGGTTGGGAAATGCCTCATTGAGTTCAATTCCTTTTCTTACCTGCTCTCCCACTTCACCATCTTGTCCCTCTTTCTCTCCGCCTCCTTCTCCTTCTCTACCTCAACAGGTGATATCTCTTCAGTCATCCTCAAACTAACTTGATAGTCCGTATAAAGTACCCCTCTACTCGTTACCTTGACAACATCTATCTGAGTAGCATCTCTTAAAGTATGTCTGCTACTTCTCTCGATCATCTCGCCCTTGGCGGCCGTGTCGAATGGCTTGCGAGTCTGAACACGGCCTCCACGCCTAGCAAGAACGCCCATAGACGGACTTCCATTATCTGTACTATCGGGCCCAAGACGAACTCGGTCGAGAAGATCAACTCCCTGTTAGTAGTAGATTCGAGCCATTCAGATTAGGATTCACGGAAGCTGATGCAATACTTAGCCGACGCGCGGGTCTCAACATTGTTCGCATGGTAGGTACTTTTCCTACGTTGAGCTTCGGTATGCTGATTTGACTGCATCAGAACTTCAGTCACGGGAGTCACGAATACCACCAGTCTGTCATTGACAACACCCGTGCCGCCGAAAAGCAATTCCCAGGGCGCCAGGTTGCCATTGCACTCGACACCAAAGGCCCGGAGATACGTACTGGCGATACCGAACGGGGCGATGACATTCCCATCAAGGCTGGCCACGTCCTGAACATTACCACAGACGAGAAGTACAAGACCTCCTGCAGTGCAGAGAATATGTATGGACGAATTGATCCCATTGACTTAGTGTGCCATGCCGTGCTAACAATCCTCAAATAGGTACGTCGACTACGCCAACATCACCCGAGTGATAGAGCCTGGCAAGGTCATATACGTCGATGATGGCGTTCTCGCCTTTGACGTGATCAAGATCAAGGACGACAAGACGGTTGAAGTCCGATGCCGTAATAATGGATTCATCTCCTCTCGGAAGGGTGTCAACCTTCCTGACACCGATGTCGACCTCCCTGCTTTGTCAGAGAAGGACAAGAATGATCTTAGATTTGGAGTCAAGAACAATGTTGATATGGTCTTTGCGAGTTTCATTCGACGTGGCGAGGACATTCGCGCCATCCGTGAAGTCTTAGGTCCCGACGGCAAACATATCCAGATCATTGCCAAGGTTGGTACTCTACAAACACCCCCCAACCAACTCCAGAAACAACAAAACAACCCCTTTTTATCTAGCAATTCCCTTGTCGTTAACTGTTTGGCCTATAGATCGAGAACCGACAAGGGTATGTGTAACCTTGCTTCGAGAAAAGCCCCCCTCTTCAACTCCACTGTCCTCGACACACTGAAGACCAAATCAATTCCGGTTTCTGCGGGACGCCCGATCTGAATAGAACTAACGGAAACTCATAGGCTGAATAATTTCGACGAGATTCTCCAAGAGACGGACGGTGTCATGGTAGCCCGAGGTGACCTTGGTATTGAGATTCCCGCTTACGAGGTCTTCGCCGCCCAGAAGAAGCTGATCGCCAAGTGCAACATTGCTGGCAAGCCTGCGATTTGTGCGACGCAGATGTTGGAGAGCATGATCACTAATCCCCGCCCGACCAGAGCTGAAATCAGCGACGTCGGTAACGCTGTCACCGATGGAGCTGACTGTGTCATGCTGAGTGGTGAGACCGCCAAGGGATCATACCCGGAGCTGGCGGTGGGTGAGATGAGCAATACGTGCCTCGCCGCGGAGAACTCGATCCCCTACGTTAGCCACTACGAAGAGATGGTCTCGCTCACTAAACGTCCCACGCATGTAGTCGAGGCTTGTGCCATGGCCGCAGTGCGAGCATCGTTGGACTTGAACGCAGGCGCAATCATCGTCCTATCGACGTCTGGAGACTCGGCCCGCCTGCTATCCAAGTACCGGCCCGTGTGCCCGATCTTCATGGTCACTCGCAACCCGTCAGCCTCGCGCTACGCACATCTGTACCGTGGCGTTTATCCTTTCCTATTCAACGAAGCGAAGCCGAACTACGACCAGGTCAACTGGCAGGAAGACGTGGATCGCCGCATCAAGTGGGCTGTTGAGAAGGCACTGGGGCTGGGCCTGCTTGGCAAGAGTGACACGATCGTGGTTGTCCAAGGCTGGAGAGGTGGCATGGGCAACACTAATACGCAACGGATCGTCAAGGCCGACCCTGATCACCTGGGCCTTGGTATGATGAATTAGAGACATAAATCACCCAGTTTGTATCTGGTATCCAGGTAGTGCAGAGGGGAATCAGACTGCAACCAGCCGACGATGTGATAGATCGTCTTTAGTAGAGAGGTAGATTGCTCACACAGATTCATAACATGACTGCATATTTCCTCGTGCCTTACTCCTGCATGGTGAAGTCTCATCTCGCTCGATCCGTTCCTGGTTAGACCATGGGTGTAGGATCTGTTGGCGCTACGCTCTGTACCTATGTAGGTACTCTGGAAGAGACATCTTTGAGACGTCCTGTCAGTTACTGTACTTGAATGTAGCGATGGATGTGCCTCAAGTACATACTTCAAGTTCAAATAGCAGGGGGAAGGGGGTTCGTTGACATGAGAACGAAATAATGTCCAGTCATGTCCAATTATCACCTGGGCTGGACAGTATGGCAGCCACGATTGCTCGTTGCTGACATTATGTCGAAATACCCCCTCCTCCCCTTAGATGTATGTACTGAGGTACATACAGTACGTACATCTTTGCCCCGCGTCCACACGGGTTAAAACTTCCATTGACTCACGCGATTTTGGCGGGGCTTTTCTGTCTTGTCAAACCTACCTACATAGTACCTACCTACCCTTAGCAAGCCACGATTCTTTACGTTGTCTCCCCCCTTCCTCACCTTGACCCCAAATCAGCTTTGGGTGTTTCTTTTACTTCTTTCTCCTCTCTCGTCAAGATGAGCATCAGCTTCCCCCAGACTGAAGAAGAAACGGTGCGCTTCTGGCGAGAGGTCGATGCGTTTCAAACCCAACTGAAGCTCACTGAGGACCGTCAGCGCTTCACCTTTTACGATGGACCCCCTTTCGCAACCGGCCTTCCTCATTATGGCCATCTTCTAACTTCCACGATCAAAGACATCATACCACGGTACTGGTCCATGAAGGGCTACCACGTCATTCGTCGTTTCGGTTGGGACACGCATGGCCTTCCTATCGAATATGAAATCGACAAGACTCTGGGCGTGTCTGGCCGAGACGCCGTCTTGAAGATGGGCATTGAGAATTATAATGCAGAATGTAGAGCCATTGTCATGAGGTACGCGGCCGAGTGGCGACAGACCATCGAGCGCCTGGGTCGCTGGATCGATTTCGATAACGGTGAGTGATCAAGTCCTCTTTTTACCCTTGTTGGGCCAGCTCTAATACCTGGATTTAAAAAGACTACAAGTCTATGGATGTGAAGTTCATGGAATCCTGCTGGTGGGTATTCAAGCAGCTCTT